TGTAATATAATAATATGGGTATTCTAAAGCAAATAATTATTGGATATTTTTGACCTAATTATTGAATATTTCTATACCAATCTCTAGGTAATTTTGATATTATATTATCTATTTAAGGGATATATGTACATATTCATCTCTCTTTACTTTAACTATTTATAATTATAATATTTCTTTTAAAAATTTGTAAGTAATATTTACTTCTAACCATTTTCAGTAAGATTTAAAATTTGAGAAATCAAATGACAACCTCTATAATGTATTATATTCGACAATTTCCCTACTTTATAAACTTAGTAAGTCAATCAAAATATTTAAAAAAAAAAAGGTCATAAATATTTAACTACAACCCGTCATTCAGAACTCGACACTTTCTATAATATAATTTCACATAGCTTATTACGATTTCTTGTCTTGCAGATACCTGAATCTATTTAAGTGTATTTTTAATACAAATGATAGCATTATATTTAATTAGCAATATTTTTCTTGAATGACTAAGCTGTCTATAATAATTTCCATTCATTTTCCAATATTAAATACGAGCGTATTAAGATGACTGAAATTATATGGAATGATTAGGCGGGAATGTTTTATATAGTAATATACGATTTCCCCTATAACAGTTATTTATAGAAATTGATTAATGTTGATTTAACCAATTTTATTCAGGTATTAAACTTTCATGAATTCGTTGAATTCAACCAGAAATTTCAACAAATAAATTCTATTTCAGAATTTATAAGAATTTATTTATTTGTTTCTTCTGTTAGCCTWGACTAAAATATTAACCCAAATATCTCACAATGTATTTTGACACTGTCCTTTAGTATTTCAGTAATTTAGCATTTGGAAGAATTGCCCAACAGCCAAATGACAGATGGCCATTTGAAAATTAATCCAGTGTTCTCTTAACGGCAAATGTGTTGGATTCTAACCCATGTCAAGATCTCGCTTTCTCTCTATCTCTCCCCCCATCCCTCTTTACTAGCAGAGAAGAAATGTATTGCGGTTATTGCTGTGTTTCAATGTGTATATCTGTATATGAATATTTAGGTATGTATGTGTGTGTGTGTGTGTGTGTGTATCTGGTTTTTTGATTTTAGGTCTCAACCACAAGCCCAACAGAGCTGGTGAGAAATAAGCCCGCGGGCCGCATTAAAACCCACAAAACTGGCAACTTGCTATTTGATTTATTTGCAACGGATACAGATATAAACATACAAATATATATATCTGTATATATACATATACATATATGAGTATATATATTTGGAGCTTTACATACATATGTGTGTTGGTGTGCTGGCAGCTGCTACGGCTGCTGCTGCAACATCTACTTGGCCGCCCAACTCGTGGCAGACAAATAAAACACAATGTAAACCACATGACATATTGGCGTTTATTACAACAAATTGGGGTGACGATTTGGCGGCATTACAAAGGCAGCAAGAGCTCCAAACTAGGCGAAAAGTCGGATAAGGCGCGACACCCACACACACACACACACACACATAAACACTCATACACACAACTGCACTCGAAACAAATTGAACTGAAACTCAAACAAACCACGGGTAGCTAGAGCAAGCACAGGAGAAACACAGGGTAAGCCGAACAGAGGGGCTGTGGACGGTGGGGCTGAGAGGTTTGGGGCCTCGCAGCTGTGCCCACGTTTTCTTCATATTGTTGCTGTTGTTGTTTTTGTTAGTGTTGTTTTTTGCTGCTGTCGCCAACTTCGTTTGACATTATTGTAGTTGTAAGCCTGCCAAACTGCGGACGCACATTTTACACACGAGGGCTGCCACAGAAGTGGAGCATTCAATTAGAATATGGGCAAAACCTAGAGCTAGATGTGGAAATGCTAAGCTATAAATTTATATAAAAAAAAAAAAATTATATAT